GAATAAAGGTGATTTTTGAAACACTCAAAATATTCGTATTAATGTTTAGATTTTTCGTTAACAACCGATACAACAAGCATTCAATTTCATAAACTACGAACTGTACTCGATATTCGATATTCGCCGCATTTCGAATACGAAACGTGGTTTAAAATTACGAAGTACCTACCACGTGTTTTCGTAGTTATGAGAACAAAACTTTGAATATAACTAAAAAATAACATTAGCAGACAGTTGACTTAATGGTAAGCAATCAGCGCCGCCTACGGACACCCGCGAAACCAAAGAAATTACGAGTGCGTTGCCGGCCTTTTGGGGATAAAGGTTTTGGATGTTTAAGGATTGCGAAGGGTTAGGGGAAGGGGAGAAATTAGGCCTCCGATAACCTCACACACACGTTAAACACAACGCTTATTTGTTTCACGCCCGTTTTCTATGAGGTATCACTCCGGTCGAGCCGATTCATTCTTGCCAAAGCTTGACTTTCCCACACTTAAATAAACGCTTGATATTTAACACACCCAAGTACTTTCTTTAAAAACGGCAATTTTCTGGAAAAATGCACAAAAGTCAAAAGGGATTCAGTATAATTTATAAATAGAAAGAAAGAAAGAAGAAGTATTTATTCGCGTCTAGGACGCACATAAAACACAGAACAAATAAGTGTTTAAACACAAAAACAAAAAAAAACATGGTAATAACCATAATTCGATACTTACTGGATTTTACTAACTATAAGCCACCCTATTCCTGCTCCAGGCCAAGGCCGCAGTACGTTACTACGGTTGTCTCGCAAACCCGGCTACTACTCACTGGCTGAAGAAAGAGATGAAAGTGTATAGTGCTTCCATGTTTATTCCCATTTTAAGTACAATGTAGCAGCAATGACAACGATGCGTGAAAAGTCCTAAATTCCAAATAATTTAAGCATTCAACAAAATATAATATTATTTTTTGTTTTTAAAATGTGGCAGGATCTTTATGATATCTAAACTTTATTATGTATCACTTTCTAGGACAAAGCATACAACATGGCTATTATAATGAAGCCAAACTATTAAAGTACAGTCCAACAATGTGAATAAACGCCGCTTCACTGGCACATCGTAAGAAAATCTTACCAATTTAATTATAAGTGACTTTAAAATATCTCCATAACATTAATTAATCAAAGATATCAATCCAAATTTTGCGATATCGAAACAAAAATTTCAATCGGTACTTTGCGAGAAATATATTTTACGTTTCTGTTCCGTTTTTTGTACCGCACAAAGAAATGCGTTGAATTCCATTCAATTTCGAGTTGAAAATATCAAAAAAATATCTTTAATATTGTCAGAATCCGTAGCATATAAAGACAAACGCCAGTATCCGCAGTCGAATAGTTAGTTCCGAAATAGAGTGAACTCAAAAAACTCCTGTCATGTCGAAAATTGACTGAGCCTTTGACAATTAAATTTTTGTACCACAGGATTTGTTTGGCCATATCGCTAGTTGGCATCCATCGAATATGGCTGTACGCATACGACCATAAAAATATCTCGATTGTAGTATATTTTTCTATATAGGATAGGTAGGTTGGCGAACGAACAACGGGATCACACATGATGGTAAGCAATCGGAGCCGAACATAAAAACCTGTAACACTAATGCGTTGCCAGCCTTTCGTGGGTGGCTAGCCATTTGAGAATTAGGGGTTTGACGAACGGGAATGGAGGCCGATATTCTGTGAAGCCTATCACTCTGATCGAGCCCACCTATTTGCATAATAATATATTCATTCATTAAACACATCATGAGGACTACTAAAAAGAATAAGAGTAACAAAAATTTCTTAACTGGGGCTTCACTTTTAAACTTTGCTTGTACAATAATTGCCCATTCAGGCATTGAATACCACTTATTTTTCTTACTGCAACGTGATATTGAAAAGGCATTCAACGTGCAGAGCTTACATGAAATAAAAATCCAATTTCCTGGCCATTTTGCAGATTTCAATTCATCCGCTTCCAGCAATATGTAAACAAAAGATCTGGGAAAATCTATTGATCATGACCGTGAAACTGGCGATCTCAGTTTGAACAAGCTTTCCGATTTTTGTACGTATTTCATTCAATTTAGTGTTCGGTCGTTCATCAATATTGAAGGCTCTTAATTGATAAAGTGCACCAACAACATGGCCGCTACTCTTAAAAATGTTTACATTTTTTTATGCTCGTGATTTTACGGGACTGTATTACGTAAACTGTACGAAAGTATGTAATTTGTATTACCGGTACATTATGAAAGACATATTTAATATTTAAGTACCTGGATGACCGAGATTTGCTTTTATTAAATGAAACCTAGCTCATTTGATTTTTTATCCCTAAAAGTCTTTAATGCCTTTTCTTAGAAAATGAGCTGAAATTCATCTTTTATTAGAACAACGCAAAGTAAAATAGTTATTTATTATGATTTTCTTTTTTTCTTCGATTAAAGCGAAAGAGAAAAGTTTTTTCATTTTAATTTAAAACAGAGAGCAGCAGACTTTTTTTTAAAGTTGCCATTGAAACTGTTTACTTTGTAGGTTCTTGAACAAAACTAATCGATTGAAAGCAACTACTGGAGTATCGGACCAGAGATAATGATCTACGATAAACTTAAAGTCTGTAAAAAATGAACGTTTAAGAAGAAATTGTTAAGTGCCTTTTTAATGGCACCCATAGCATGGCGATAAAGACAAGAGCAGTAAAGCCTACTTCTTTAACTTTCTTTAGAACTGCAAGCAGGCTGCTTAGTGAGCACTTTGATTGGAAAATTAATAGGTACTAAAATTGTAATCTTACATCTTCCGAATAAATTTGAACGCTTATTTATATGAGCGAGCGAGTTTCTGCGTGGGTGTGCTCTTGTTATGAATGGAGGATTTCTTTGAAGGTCTAGATTTGAGTATTAGTCGGACTTAAAAAGCCTTTACCACAGCCGAGTAAATCGAGGTTCATTTTTTAGAACGAATGTCGTATTACGTATCAATAAGCTGATCTTTTGTGTAATGTAGTATGAGTTAGTCTTTATTATAACGAACATTTTTAAAACACGCGTCAACATTCCCTTATATTTTCTTATGAAATCAACTTACTATTATCAACTTAGTAAGATTAAACAATATTAAAAAGTGAAATATTAAGATATTAAAATTTAATTAAATACTTTAAAATAACTTAAAATACAACAAAATAGAACATATCTCATCGTCTTGATGTACGAGACCCGAAAGATTGGGAGCATTGCAGTATCTATGCAATTTTCATTTATATTTTAATAATGTAAAACAAAGAGTGTCCATTTTACTTTTTGAAAAAATATATTTTTTCTTTATAATTCGATTGTTATAACTGTACAACAATAATAATTAACTATACACAGTGCTAAACTTTTGTATGAACCTAAACTAGTTACCTTGTCACTTTAAAAAGGATAATATAAAAAACCTTATTATAATTTGAGACCTCCAGTTGGGTCACAGAGGTTCGTAAGCCCATATACTGAAACATGCGTAGTTAACCAAGGTACTCTAGCCAAACTACCGCCTCAAAAATACTATAAATTTTTGTCTTGTCCATAAAAAGGTGGATATCTTCTTGATAGAGAATCACTTCTTGATATGGTTTGAAATTAAGCGCATCTTAGACTTCAATATAGAACGTATAAAATAGAGTTATAACTACGATAATCATAATTACCTAAAAGCTAAAGCCGAGACATGCCAAGCACCAGCTGTTTAAATTGGATTATAGGCTTTATTACCATAAGGGTAAGATACATAGAGATAGATTTGTAATTGATTTAATAAGTTAAACTCCAACACCACAACAATAATGGCTGTAAAACAGTTACGACCCGACCTTGTCTACGTTTTGCGGTACAATCCCGCATACCGGAGGCAGCGGTTACATCGGCAGTTTCAAACAAGGGCAGTGGAACCATCCTCCTAGGAGAAATCTTTAGTTCGACTACATACACATAATAAATTCAAAAGCAAATTGGTTACGAACTTGGTAAGGTAAAGAGACTTCACCACATGAAGACACGGGTGAAGAAAATAACAAGGGACAAACTCAGCTGAATGGTGCTTTTCGATTTTCAAGGTCGTTCAAATAATTCTCATCTTCCCTTTCCCAGGAAAGCCATTTGTCATAAAGCTGTAACATAAAAATCTCTATCGTGGGTTTTTATCACTCTTAAGCCGCCGCATCTAAGCCTTAAGCTGTTAAGAATATTTTTTTAACTTCTCTGACCTTTATAAACAATTGTACATTTCTAAGGAAAAATCTAAAAATACATCTTTAAGATATCAGCCCTAAAATCAAAATAAGAAAGGATTCAATTTCAACCCTTTTTGAATGAACACAGGAACGAGGACAGATTGTCTTCAAATAAATAACTTCTAAAATAGTTGAGTACGTAACCATAGCAACGTTATTATAAGAAAAAAAGAAATGTTTTTCCAAAGTTACAATAAACACTCGAAGCCTTAGAGCGGTTCTTATGATATACTTATTTAGAGCGAAATTGATACCTGGCGAATCACCAATACCTACAAATGTTTTATAAGGTTTTCCAATACAAATAATATTTACTTCCAGTTTTATCTTTACATCTTCTGCCTATTAAATAACATCGGAACATTTGGTTTCGAATTAGGAAATATGAATATAAGATTTTCGAGATAACGTTTGTAAAACTTCATGCTTACTTTTAAAATAGGAATATGGTTTTTTGTAATAATGGGATCATTTTTTCATTTTATTTCATTCATTAATGTCGTAAATGCTCAAGGATTAAAACTAAGCTAATCCTAGAACACTAAAGGCGGTTTGCAGGACATATAAATTTATTAAAGTCACTAATCTGTCTTAACACTTGATTAAATATATAAGAGAATTCCTTATACACTTATATGTCTTGCTTATCCCTACTTAACATTTTTACATATTAAATCTATTTTTTGTTCTCAGCTCATCGAGGCTCTGCATTACCTGCACTACAATACCCACATGATGCATCGCAACGTGTGCCCTCAGGTGATCATCGTCACCAAGAGAGGCACTTGGAAGCTCTTTGGCCTCGAGTTTGCTGGTGCGTACCCTTTTTATTTATTGTACCAAAATCGAAACTAACTGAAAACGCATGATACTTATAAATAAGAGCCCCGTTGCGACTTGAAACTAGTAGAGCTTTTCTTAGTTCATTTACGTCATTAAGTCGTTATTTCTATAAACGTCATTAAGTGTGGGAGAGCCATGCTTCGGCACGAATAGGTCGCCTCGACCAGAGTGATACCACGGCCTCACAGAAAACCGGAGTGAAACAACCACAGCGTTGTGTTTTGCAGTGTGAGTGAGGTAACCGGAGGCCCAATCCTTCCCCTCCCCCAATCCCTCTTCAATCCCTAAATCTCCAAATCCCTAATCCCTAAACGGTCGGCAACGCACTCGTTACTCCTCTTGTTCGGGTGTTCGTGGGCGGCGCTGTTTGCTTAACATCAGGTAATCCGTCTGCTCGTTTGCCTACCTATTACATAAATAAAAAAAAACTTAGTATGTCTCACAATAGTTACTATTCAAAATAAATTACACGCTTCCATATATTTTAGAAGATTATATGGATTTGTAGGCATTTAAAGCATATTAAGCTGCCGGTACCGTTTACCGTCACACAGTAAACGTCTATAACATCCCTATAGTGAGACGTAACATAAATCCGAGTGGATCTCAACAAGAATATGGTATCGTCCTCAGATGATTTTGTCCAATCGAACATTCTATTACAATTGACAATACGATACCTGGAAAGGTCAATAATTGTAATCACTTTTTTCTATCCTCGGTCCTTTTTCAAATTATTTTGTGATCAACACTGATTTAATCACAATGTGATAATGGTGATAATCTAAAAATGGATCCAATAATCCACATCTCCCCACATCGGCAGTAGGTATATTTTCAAAGGCCTCAACTTGGTTATGACTCCTCTGGTGACGCAGGTGTCCATGGGCGGCTTTGCCTCCTATTTCATAAAAAAAGCTATCGGTTTGACATCAGATATAATGTAAATGCTCATATATTATGTCTAAGTAACGTCAAAGCTGAAATAGCTCAATTCAATGAGGACGGTATAGTTGGCCACTTAAACTGACGATCATAGTAAACGCTGCCATTACGTTAAGCACTTACGACGTCGCTTCGAGGTATACATCTCAATCAAAGTAGTTTCCCAGACGTTTGGCTAACTACAAAAGTGTCAAATAGTCTAGAAATGGATCAAAATTTATATTTATCGTGTATTATGTTGCCCCTAAAGGGGAACCTGTAATTCGCACCACATTTTGTTATTAGATTCGGGTAATGTTATAATTACAGTTTGAAAATCATGACATTACATTTATTATTTTTATTTATTTTCCACATATAATAAGCTGTCACAACGGTATTGCTGAACTTGTTTCGATCACAAAGTACCACTTGATGAATTTATTTCATATGGAATTAATTTCAAACGTGTTTTGCAACTATGTATAACAATAAAAATAAATGTCAGAATACAGCACTTAAAGCAATATTATTTACAGCCAACTGTTAACACTATAAATTTATTTAATTTCATTAAACATAACTAAGTACGCATATATATTTTTTGGGATTGTAATGTCTATACTTCTAAAGAAGGGTTTTTAGTAAAATCTATGTAGGTCGTGAAGAGTTTGAAAAAAGATAGTTTTATTTTAAACAGAGTAGGTATTTCGATTAAAATAAAATAGGCATCCAGCGGAATATTCAATGAACTGAATAAAAGATAATAAAACGAGAGAGAGAGTAGATTGAAACTGCTTTTTTCCTATATATTTTATCAAATTTTGATATAATTCAGTTATTAAAATATATACATAACAGGGACATTCAGACACAGAAGAAGTTGTAAACAAAGACACTATATCCAAACTAATATTATAAATGCGAATGTAACTGTCCGTCTGTCTTTCACGCCTAAACTACTGAACCGATTTTTGTGAAACTTGGTACAGACATAGTTTGGAACTCGAGAAAGGACATAGGATAGTTTTTATACCAAAAATCTGTAGCAATCAATATTTTACGCGGGCGAAGTCGCGGGCAGAAGCTAATATGCTATAAAACATCACGCATAAACATCTATGATCTTTAGGAGCTGAAAGCGCATGAGAGTAGCTAGCACTTGATAAAACATTTTTTGCAACTTAAACTTTTACTATTTTTTCTGTTGGATAATTTTCTGATGAAGAATGAGAGTCACCCTCACTTATACTTACTTGGATTTGCAAGATAAATCTTTGTAAACATAGAAACGTTGACTTTTCTATGTTACGTTGCCGTAGATTTCTTTAACCTGTATTACATACCGTTTTTGCTCTCGAATGGAAAATGAAAGCATTTTGCACCACGTTTATTCAACAGTAGCAAAATTGAACTATGAAAGAGAATATGCAAGATAGACAAACTACTACAGAACTGAATATTCCTATAAACATTATAATCTAAGCGAGATTAAGTAGACCTTTAAATTTCTGCCCTTTTCAAGAGTTCAACTAAAAACTGACACTCCTTAAAAGCTTTTAAAAGATTTAAATACAGTTAGAAGTAGAAAGAATCAAAATTGTAAAAAGATAAGAATCAGCAGCACTGTTAGTTTGCTCAAAATATTTTAATAATTGATATATATATATTTTTTAATAATTATATATATTTATATATATTATATTATATATTTATATATATTTTAATAATTATAATAATTAATATTTTATCCACTAACAAAAACCGAGAGTTCCTTTGCCACTCAATTTTGATTCAAGATCCGACACAATATTTACGGCGATATCTTCACTTATGGATTTGTGTGCAGAAGGTTGTTCATTTTTGAATTTATAAAGGTACAAAGCATTTGCTTGTAGACCCAAATTTAAACTAGTTTATGCCTATCCTATTAGTCACTATTATTTTCGATACACGGCTTATCAAGAAAGCAGAACAGAATACCATTATCTTCCCTCCCTAGAGATTTCACATGAAATCTCTTTTTCTTACCCAAAATAGTCTAATATTCGGAGATTTATATCTTTGTAGCAGTTTATTTTTACGCAGTATAAGGTAAAGAATGAAAGCGGTTATTTTTTCTCGACGGTGAGCTGTATAAAATATTAAGTAGAATCTCAGTGATTAAAAATATAATCCTCCTTTTTTGTTTGTATCGTTTGATGGTTGCTTTAAATATTAAGTAAGTTTAGTTAGAATTTAGAAATAAATTCGTTTAAAACATAAAGCTTAGTACACTATTTAGAATACCTAGTGTAAAAAAAATTGATACATTCAAATGGTGAGTTGTCGCGAAAGCCCAAGGTTTTTGGTAATATTCATTATCCTTGTTTATTAAATAAATGTAAACTGCTATGCGCAACATTAGGAAACACATTGTCATACGCCTCTTGGGAAATCAAACGTTAGACAATACGGTGACGAGACCGTCAGAAACAGAAAAATATGGCAGGTTAATAATACAATTTATAATATGATTAAAGGTAAAAGCAATGCATATTGGCACTGTTTTCCCTTTGCAGTTTAATTTGCACTTTGTACATATATTTTTAGGAAAGGACTTAAAAATTCAAGTAAACTCACTTCTGATAATTCGTGGAAGTGGTTCGACTTTATGAACCTGCTCTATTGATCCTTTGAATGGGTTAGGATACGATTCGTCTAAAAGTCCCTGATAAAAAAAGGACTTAAAACCAACTTCACGATTTGGGAAATTAACTCTTAATAACTTTATCAGTGAAATGCAAATGGTAGGTATGGTTTGACCATGTATTGTATTTATCATCTAATTACTCAATTTCGACAAGTATGTACAGTTTATTTAGCGAAATTAAAGTAAGTTTTCAAATTGGAAATAATACTGCATTATAATTTATAGTTGTGAATTTATTTGCCGTTTTTTTAATTTGACCTACTGCCCCTAATATTAAACAAACTCTTTATTTATACATTCCAATTTAGAAGGGTTTCATTTCTGTTAATTTGAAGCTCTTAACATAAAAGTTCAAATTACAGTCCTTCAGAACCTGAGAGGCCATACCTGGGCCCAGGGAACACGTTTGTAAAATGTTCTGTAATAATACATGTAATACATTTATGTACCCATACCAACGCTAGAGGTGTGGGACCGACAGGCCGTTAGTGATAATATGTTATGAGGTCGATAGATAACATAATACAAGTCAATATAGCCAAATAAAATAGTTACAAGACCGAGGCCTAAGCCTCTATTTAACTAATGTCAATCATAGATTGGATATGAATAAAGATTTGAGTACTGTTATTAAACTTCGATTTTTATACAACTCTAGCATTAAAAAAGGTTTTGAGTTCATTAAATGTTTGAGTTGTGTAAGTGTGTGTGAATTTAGTACAAAAACGTGTGAACAATAAATAACTGAATAATTAATAAAATAATGTTACTTAGCATATTAATGAAAAATAAAAGTAGACTTTAAAGTATGAAAGTATTTTGGCTATAGATATAATATATTGTGTGTACTGTCTACATATGAATTTATCATAATTATGTAGATACCAGTAGATATACATAAAATGTTCTCGAGGGTTATTATTCATATAACGAAAATATATTGTTTCCGAAGGTACCGAATCAATAAAAGGGTGCTTGACAACGAGTCAGATTCAATACTATACTTAGTTTGAACTGTCAAAATCGACAGTTTCCTTTGAATTTTCTACACGTACGTGCGTTGTGACGACACATTTTCTTTGTATAAATTACCATACTTATTTTATTAAAAAAAACTTATTTTACAAAAAATATAAGTATGTCGAAAAATTACTTTAAAGTAGTGTTGTTTTTTATGATGAAAATTAGTTTTTCTCTTCTTCTTTTTTTAAAACGCAGATTTGTCGTTAATATTTGTAGTGGGTCAAATAGCTAAGTACCCATCAATTAACTTCATTATTTTATTGTACCAATATATTGTTAACACAAGACAAATAAATCGCGTACTCCACGAGTCTGTCGTAACGTACGAACAAGTTTGGTTCCAGACTTATTCGAAGTACCCTTTGTTTGATGTTATAGCTTCGTGTTTTACAAACTTCAAAGAGGTTTCTTACCTTTGTACTGCTGTGTAGGTATGTCCTCTTGCTGACAACAGTCGATGTACAATACTATACATAGAGAACGCCAATATCCTTTCTAAAACATAACTCTTTGTCTCATTTGTGATTCGCTGTAGGTGTCGTGGTAACTGTTTTTCTAAAGTACTACATTTATTTTTTCGATTTACTAAGCCTTCGTTCAAAAAAGGCTGAGTTCTGAACTAAAATCTCCGACTAAAATACCTAAATGCCAAGCATTTTACTTAAACAGTTGCCATGTTGAAAGATTAAGATTGTAAAAACTTGGCCGCACTAAGCTTTATAGCCCTGACTATCTATAAAAACTTATAAATCTTCGTAAGACGAGCGAAGAAATCTAAATAACCCTACGTCATGTACCGCTGTACATTTAACTAAAGGCGTTTTCAAGTATTTTTTAAAATTCAAATTAGGTACTTTTGCCATTACAAAACCAGTATGCTCGTTAAAAATAATGGTAAATATATGTACAAGTAAATATTATGTGCATCCACGTACATTTAGTGTAATTCTTTCTTAAACATTTTATAAAATAGTTTCACGTCAGAGATAAAACTAGAAAACGACGCTGGCTAAGAAATAAAGTCGCTTTCAAGGCCGTAGAGATACCTTACTGTATAAAAGTTATCAATTTTAAAAGCGAAAGTAGGAGCCTGACGTTACTACTAACAGATTATCCCTTTTCTCGTGCCTGTGAACTTGAACACGGCTTAAATACCAACAGATGAAGCCGTACCAACACATCCAATCTTCTACCTTATATCAATACTTTGAGAGCGAAAAAGAAAAGTTATCTTTAAAGATTTACACGAGCTTAATGTTCTAATCAAGGTATTAACTTAGATGGAGGTCAGTATAGTGACATAAGGTATTGGATTTATTTATTTTATCTCACAAATTTTAACGAACTATTTCTTTCACAGAAAATTGCCTGTCATCGGACCCCACCGACATGATATGCGTGCCACCGTGGTCCATCAAGGTGGCAAAATTATCTCAGCCCAATCTGGACTATTTAGGTAAGGCTTTTTTTATATATTTTTGGTCGGCTGTGCAGTGGTCTGGTGGTATCATCAATCAAGGTAAGCTGTAATAACGAATCCTTTTTTTAAATAAGTATTTTTTAAAACCGTCTTACTAATTATGTCATTTGAAAATATCGGATTATCGGGAATTATATTTAAAGATTCTTTCTGTAAATGTAGAAAACATTACGTTGATTTCCATAAGATCGTCTAATTTGATGTTACATATTATGTTGGATATTGATATTCGGTGGTCGGGTTAGGAGATGAAAGAGAGTTTTATAGTGACTAATTGCATACCTGGGTCTCAAATGGAAGCGCGCTTTTGGCAAAGGAAAATTGAAAAGAGAAATATGTCACTAGACGAAAAATAGTGAAGGATTTTAGCGCCACAAAACGTTGATTCGGTCTTTGCTTTTTGAAATATGAAAATTTTCGGCATTCGTAAAAGACATTCATTTTTTCGAAAGTTAAAAACTAATTGCCAATTATCGGAGCAGAATCTGTTACAATTCTTTGATACATTTATATATCACGATTCTTTCGATTTTTAAGAAGACACACAACACAGTTCGGCTTTAAAAAAAATGACGGACATCCCTTTTCAGCTTTTCGAAACCGCTATTTGGCAGTCGCACTTAAACATAGTAAAAAACGGTATTCTTGTATTATTTTAACACAATGACTGCTGCCTGGAACTGTCTGTTGAAAGTGAATCCTTTAGTTTTCCGGCGCCTTGCCGGACATATAAAAAAGAGGACGTTCGTTTCTTGAAAGTTTGGAAGTCGTATCGGTTCGGAAACACCACTGCCGACTAGTTGAAAACCTCAAATAAGTGTAACGTCCTGCTTTCTATAAAATTCCTAACTCACAACAAGTTCTCCTTTAACCTACATCCAACGGCTCGTACGAATTAATTAGAGTACCTAGTTTAATTACTCTCTTTCATTTCATAATAATTAGAGTTTTTAATGAAACACATATTAATATTTGCATCTGTTAAACACGTAGGTGTTCTTTGTAACAGATACCTTTGAAGTTTTGGCAAACTTTGATTCATTAAGTAAATAATTAATGAAAGTACGAGCTACTTACGTTTCATTAATAACGCTCTGTTTGGTATTTAATAAGGTATCATTGTTTTGTCATATCAATTTTATTATTTCCAACTTGCTCAAATAAATCCCACCCCGGCTTTATTTACCAAGGTCTCAGTAAAAACGGGCGTAAAACATAATTTGTGCTGTGTTTTGCTCTTCCTATCCATTCCCTTCCTTCCTATCCATTCCCTAATCCCTCATTACCAGATCCCTCATTCCCTAATCTCTCATTCCCTAATCCCTCATACCCTGATCCCTTTTCCTTAATCCCTCATTCCCTAATCCCTCATTTCCTAATCCCTCATTCCCTAATCCCTCATACCTAATCCCTCATTCCGTAATCCCTCATTCTGAAATTCCTAATACCCTAATCCCTCATTCCCTTATCCCTCATTCCCTAATCCTTCGTTCCCTAATCTCTCATTCCCTAATCTCTCATTCCCTAATCCCCAAATCCTTTAAATTAAAAGGCCGGCAACGCTATTGTAACTCTACTATATTGCGGGTATGGACGGTGCCGAGCGCCGATTGCTTGCCATCAAGTGAATCGCTGCTCGAGATACCAGAGTTCAATTTATTTTTGGTTATAACTATTTGAACTACTTATTTGTCCATGCATGAGCTTAAGTGCGACATTTGTGCTAGACGTTTAGGTTAAACTTCCAATTTGGCGTAAGTCTTATTGCCAGGTTCAATTTTCAGTAATAGCTAAAATGTTATCTGTCTAATTATGGTGACTTAATACATAAACACTTATTAATATATAATAATACTAAATAAATAAACAATTATAACAATTAAAATTAATACATAAACACACATTTAATGCCCATCCTTACCCGTTAAACCATGAACAAATACAAATCGCGTTGTATTTTCAATCTTAAATAATATCTAGACTGCATTTTTGCAAATGTTGTATTTGCGGTGTAGAATTAATCTTAATTCATTGTGTCTTATAAGCCTACGTCAAGAATGGGGCAAACACTCTTAGATCATCTCGTTAGCTCCCGACACAAGGCATTAGGAACGCACTACGCGTCGGCCTAATTCTTAAATAAGATTTACCCAGAAAGACGATGAAGCATATTTTGTTCAAGAGAATGTATGTAATTTAAAGTACAATTTTGGTTAATCACACATCAACGAAAAAGAAAAATATATCTATATATTTTTTGCTTTATAAATACTCTATTTAAAATGAGGATTCGTTATGTGTCTCTAACAAAAACTTTGTATGTTTCAGGACGATGGAATCTTTAATCATTAACTTTGTTTCAGGAACATTATATAGTTGTCTAGAGCTATTGGCAAGTGATTGCCATGGTTCTAGAATATTGTTCTTATTAAGCTACGCTAATCTGATCTGCTTACATGTTTAGCCCCTGAGGTGCAGACCAGCGGCCAATGCAGCATTCTCTCTGACATGTTCTCTCTGGGCTTGGTTATCTGCGCTGTCTTCAATAACGGAAAACCATTGATCCAAGCCAATAACAACCCTATGTTGTACATGAAACAGATTGAATTCGTAAGTACATTTTCATTTTTTATATTAGGTACTTAATACTTATTTGTCGACTTAGGGCTGGCCTGTTATCACTGGCCACTCAGTACCTAATACTCGGTTCCTATATTTTAAGATATCGTTGTAGCTTTATATCTTGACTTGACCTTTTTTTACAAAAGTCTTCCACGAGAACCCTGAGTATTACAAATATATCACAAAATATTATGAGTATAAATATTTTGAACTTCAATTAACTTTTCATTTTTGTTATGTTGTTATGCAATATGAAATTGCATGTAGTGGAGTAATTACTGTGGCTCGTTTCCTTATTTGTGCCTTTAAGGGTTCATTCGCAAGTCTCACTATGATGAGATATCTAGACAATTTCACCGTCAAAAACCAATATCGCTATTTTTTTAACAGTGGTATAAAGAACCAATTCGATGAATGATAAATCTTAGATTAAGAACGTTAATCTCTTTGATTTTTTCAAGACACGCCAACTGATAATTTGTTTTCGACATCTTTCAATGTATTTACAATATTCCAAATATTTTGATAGTGTGATTTCATATGAATTTAGCTTATTTTAGAAATGGGGTATCCATTCCTAAAATAAGCATTTCACGCATATAAGAGTTTCAGTTGAAAACTAGACGATATCAATATAAATTTTCACTAGTCCTATTTGCTTTTCAAAATTATTACAACATCATTGAGAAACAGTTAAGAAAAACATCAGAAAGAAACCTAGACTTAACATTTCTAATAATAAGTTTTAATTCGCCAATCCACCTTAGCGTCCAACTTCCGTGTAATAAATAGGCCTTGGCTTATCAGTGGGCACAAACAGCTGGTGATGTGTGTATACAAGCACAATAATATTTAGGTCAATGTCAGTACATCCAGGTTATAATAACTGTGAACTACACAATATAATTTCCAGGTAAAAGTATATTGTCACAAGAAATATTTTATCCTCTTTACCTATTTGCTATTCTATGAAGTCTTTTCTCTCATGGAATCAAAGTTTCGTTGTTTAATATTGTTGTTATTAAATCGTAAATAACCTGTATTACCTATATATTGGAATCAAAACATGAAATACCTTGTTGGTCAAAGTCCACTGTGAAACTGTAACTATAATTCTTTAAAAGACAGATATTATTTTACTCCTGTTTTTTTTTAAAACTTACCTTTGGGGATTAAAGTCATGTTAAGTGTTAAAAAATTAAAAGCTATTTGCTTAGTGTAAAATCTATTGAAAGTTGTCTGTTTGAGAGACATTACACAAATAATGTCAGCTGTGAACAATTACAAAGAGGTTTAAGTGTGGGAGAGCCATGCTTCGGCACGAATGGGTCGGCTCGACCGGAGTGATACCACGGCCTCACAGAAAACCGGCGTGAAACAACCACAGTGTTGTGTTTCGCCGTGTGAGTGAGGTTACCGGAGGCCCAATCCTTCCCCTTCCCAATCCCTCCCCAGTTCCTAAATCTCCAAATCTCGAATCCCTAAAAGGTCGGCAACGTACTCGTAACTCCTCCGTTACGGGTGTCCAGGGCCGCGCTGATGGCTTATCTTATCAGGTAATACGTCTGCTCGTTTGCCCACCTATTAAATAAAAAAAAGTTTGTCTATGTGAATAAGGAAAGAAAATAAAAGAATGACCTAAAAAAGAAACATAAAACTGACTTTAGAGCAGCTTGACAGTTTCCCGCTATTTAACTTAGGCGAATAGATGCAAATAATCCAATCCAGATAATCTGTTTGCTAGATTTCCGGACAAACAGATTATCCGAGGATCCAACCGCGGCACTTCGAATCTTTCATTTTATACAGATCTAAAAACAAGCTCAATCAAGATTTTTCCTGGAAATCTGATAAACTGGTTCTAGAGTATTTACAAAGGTCTGTTTAGAGAAAAAACGTGGCACGCTAATACTTTCTACATTTAAACTTTCTAAACTTGTATCGTCGTTATTGGGAGAATATTATTTTTAGTTAAAAGCCGGACTTGTAATTTGAACAAACGTGGTGATTAATTAACAATGTTTCACTTTTGCACACCAGTTATAGGTAGGGTATTTATAGGCAGGTGACGGAGAGTAGGGTACTAAGTTTCCATTCTAGAAAACAGATTCTGATTTCGTTTTAAAAAGATTCTGCAGTATTTGGTCCTCTTTCCCGGGCAATATAATACATATGTATAAACAACAATGACAGCTGTTATGACTATCAAAAACACAAAATACTGACAATACTGTCAGGTTTAAAAAAAATTAGGTATTACCTATCAAATTCTCAAATTGTAAAGAACAAATGACAATCAATTGACGTGACATACTGAAAATCACTCTAACCTGTATTAAAAAGACATGAGTACACTCGATTTGAGATATATTCGCCCAGCGGGTGACATGTACATATATGGCGCAGCGAACCAGGAAAAAAAATTTAAACCAACTTTATAAAAATGCCCCAAGGGTGCCGAGCTGTGACTGTTGTCATGTTATAAGGTTGACTCTTTCGAGTTTTAATGAGTCACAATTTAATGGAGCAGTCTCTTTCATTCTGCTTTGTGGATATTTTGAATGATTTTCCTTAAAACAAAATAAGTTACATGATCCCAAAGATTGTGAAAAAGCTGTGAATGTTTTTTTAAAAAAATTTTTTTATCCGTGTGGCGTCCCTCTTTGCCATTGGTACACTCGATCAGAAGTAGAGTGACTTAAGTACGAAGTTGCAAAACAAAAACTAAGGATTTGTAACGACTCATTTCCATGTCACATCTTTTGACTTTGTTTCATTACTTTGTTTCATTACAACTATTTGGTTCATTTTCCACTGTATCTCAATACTGCTCATAAAATTTCCTTTAATCAGAAAATTACTAAATACTTCAACAATGAGTTGATTCATTAATATAAAAAATAACTCATAAATAAGGCGCGCATGGATCACTTCTGCACTCACTCACACTGCTAAATGGAGTACGTGATAGTCGTAACACTGTTAAGGATGATAGCCAGTAGACTACACTGCCTGTATATGAGTCAATATATAAGTACTCATATAGTTATTAAAACTTCGAGTCATGGATCAGGCAAGGGTCATAGACTTGTAGGTTAAATTTTAATACCAACACTAGTCGTAAATCAATACTAAATATTATATTTATTGCATTCCACATTGTGAACTTAGGTGGTAGGTACATAAGGATATGCATACATTAAGAATTTTAATACTAACCAATTTGATCATTGATGTCTGAAAAAAAAATGTTTTTTTTATTATTTATAAATTGTTTAATTGTATCGCGATCTTGAAAATAGGAACCGAGCACTTGGGTATTTGTTATTAAAATAAAAATATGTGCATTTTACATATATTTATATATATTTCATATTAAGACCAACCTATAATGATATATAATTAAATAATGTAATATGCCTATTATATTTCTGTTGTTAAATTTAATAGCACTTTTATAAATTTAATTATATTTACTTAAAAGTTTAGTTGTATATGTTTAACATTTTTTTTATATTATATTATGTACATTTTACCCTACCTAGTTCCTCTCCTATACACGATATATATCACAAAAATATTGAATCATATAAATATTACGTGTATAATATTTATTATTTGCGGGGAACGACCATGTGATGTACGGTCTATTGAAACGGTGCCACAGAAGACTAGTTGACTTTCCATGTGATATTTCATAATAAGTAATTAAAGACATGTTTATCCAAGAAAAATCAAAGATGGGCAATTAATTAATGCACACATTCTTGCCATTCATTACAATGTTTATCGGAAGTTCTTAGTATAATCAAGTCGGTGATAAAAAAAATGGGTTTTTGTTTTCAATATAGTATAAGGTATTTTGCATAAAACTATTATTATCATCTAAGTACCTACCCTAGTAGGTAAATGTTAAACGGCCTAATATTAGACACGTTTCAGTATCAGACAGATTCATTCCAGTAGCGAATATTGAATCGGTTGACTTACCGTTGATTAAAGTAAAGCAAAAGGTATTGTATGCCAATAACGAATATATTTTTATTCAATATAATGAATACTATGATATTCATATCATTTAAATGTGGGAAAGCCATGCTTCGGCACGAATGGGTCGGCTCGACCGGAGTGATACCACGGCCTCACAGAAAACCGGCGTGAAACAACCACAGCGTTGTGTTTCGCCGTGTGAGTGAGGTTATCGGAGGCCCAATCCTTCCCCACCCCCAATCCCTCCTCAATCCCGAAATCTCCAAATCCCTAATCCCTAAAAGGTCGGCAACGCACTCGTAACTCCTCCGTTGCGGGTGTCCATGGGCGGCGCTGATTACTTACCATCAGGTAATCCGTCTGCTCGTTTTCCGATCTATTACATATATTACATAAAAACATCAGCCTTATACGACTAACTTACACACTACTAACTGATACTCATATTCAATAAAAATTAACCTCATATACGAGTATACATCTATATGTAGAAAAAGAATCAAATTTATTAACAACTTTTCGAACGTCAAACCGCAAGATGACATTCTTCGATACGTTTTCAACTTTATTCTTTTGTAATAAAGTCCAAAGTTAAGTAAGAAATGCTGTATTTTATATACGTAATGACACAAAACACATGAGACAAAAACTAGTGGAAGATGTCAAGAGGTCAGATGTCAGGTCGATTAAGGTCATATGCCAGAAGACGACGAGGGTTTTGATAGCCTTCAGTTCAAATAAACATTACAAAAGATTAGGAATGAAATGTGACGTAATAAGTTCAAAATAGTATCACTGCGAACCGATAAACAATAAAAAATCCAGCGCGCTAAAATGAACGTTGCATAACTAGCTTTTAAAATTCAAAATAGTGTAACACATTGCTTGCTTACGCTACCATTTTTTATAAAATTTTAATAACTTACAAATAAAAACATATTTTATATTTATTTAGTGATAAAAATAAAAATCTGAGTCCACGATTGGCGCGGTGGCTG